GGAGAGAGGGGAGAGAGAGAGAGAGGAGAATTAGAAGAGAGGAAAAGAGAGAGTGAGAGAGGAGAGGAGGGAGAGAAGAAGAGAGGGGAGACAGAGAGGAGGAGAGAGGAAGGAGAGGGAGGAGAGAGAGTAGAGAGAGAGAGAGAGGGAGAGAGAGATAAGAAACCGATAGAGAGAGAGGAGAGAAGGAGAGGAGAGAGAGGAGAGAGGATGAGAGGAGAGAGAGAACTGGATAGAGAGGGAGGAGGAGATGAGAGAATTGGTGAGAGTGGATAGATTTATAGAAGGAATAGATGAGATAGGAGGGGGAGAAGGAGGAGAAGATTAGGGGTTAGAAATCGAGTGAGAGCGAAGCCGAGAGAGGAAGGAGAGAGGGGGACGAGGGGAGACTAGAGGAGGAGGAGGAGGAGAGAGAATGGAGCAAGATGAGGATGAGATAGAAAGAGGAGAAGAGTATAGGAGAGGGGATAGGAAAGATTATAGATAGAAGAAAAACGATATTTTAAATTAGAGGGAGAGACGAGTGAAAAAGGAGGAGAAGATGAGAGGGGCGGAGTAGCAGAGAGTATTAGGACAAGAGATAAGAAGGAGAAGAGAGAGACGCGCGAGGAGAGAGAGAAGCGATCCGCCGAGAAGGAGGAGAGACGAGGGATGGAAGATGAGAGGGAGAGAGTGAGGAGAGAGATTAATCATGGGAGAGAGAGAGGAGGATGCGAGGTGAGAGGACGAGAAGGGAATGGAGAGGGATAGAGAGGGAGACGAGGGAGAGGAGGAGAGAGATAGAAAGAAAGAGAAGAGATGCGGAGAGGGAGAGATTGAGTGGAGAGACTGAGAGAGGATAGACAACCCGATTAGAGATGAGCGGAGAGAAGAGAAAGAAAGAGAGACGCGTTGTGGGAGATGGAGGTCTTGGAGATGTCAGAGGACGATAGGAGAGTAGAGGAGAGCGAGCGGGAGAGGGAAGGGACGACGAGAAGAGAAAGAGAGGGGAGAAGGAGGAGACAGAGAGATGGTGAGGAGGAGAGAGAGGTGAGAGGAAGAGAGGGGAGAGAGAGACCCGATAGAGAGATAAGAGGAGAATGAAAAGATGCATGACAGAGGCGAGATGACGACCTGAGAAAAGAGAGAGAGGACTGAGAGAGAGGGAGAAAAGGATAGCTGAGAGATGAGAGAGAAGAGACGAGAACAGAGAAAGAGGAGGGAATGAGAGAGAAACGAGATGAGACGGAGAGAGATGAGAGAGAGAGAGAGAGAGAGAGAAAGAGAGCAGAGTCTGTCAAGTCAATTACAGTACATTACGACGCGGACATTCTTCTCCTTTCTTTCTTTGAATTTGATTATGGATTATGATTGATCCTTTTCTTATTGAGTTTCTTTTTCACATGGTAAATATTCGATATAGGCTTTTTTCATTGCTAAACGCACGTCGACAAACGGAATAATTTAGATTCAGGATGTATCAATTGTATAATTATATGTATATGTATCCTGATGTTAAAACAGGCTATTATAGGTTAGAGCTAGAGGCATGTCAAGTCTATTAAGTACATCACGAACGCGACAATTCTTCTCCCCTCTTATCATTTATTCTAGTCCATCCATTATTTTAATATCTTACATCGTCGCCGCACCCTGTCCGTCGCGTCCGTCCGTTCGTCCGCCAATCCGCTTTCTCCCTACAGGTTAATATTGTTTGTACATGGGACAAAGAACGCGTAGATATAATCCCTGGTGTCGAGAGTAGGAATAGATGCAGGAGGAGAGTACCCGCATCTCCACAATTATTGCAGTTGCGCAGAACGGTGATACAGTTCTGGCTTCTCGTAGAGTCCGACAGGACGTCTAGATCTTGTTTTAGTTAAACCAGTAGAGATTGAATTGCTTCGTAGACGTCGGCCAGAGTCGGCCAGAGTACGCCACATCGACGAAAATCGTACCGCCATCTCACCATTGGTTATGTTACTTTTCATCTTGTGGTGATACCTTCGGCTCCGCGAATCGTTAGCAGCGTAGAGTTAGCAAATGGTAGCAGATGTTTCTGGCCGTAGATGAATGTGTATTACGTAGCAGCGTAGTATGCTTTAGCAAATGGTAGAGAGATGTTTCTGTTTTATAGCAGGTAGGAGTAGCAGCGTAGAGTCTCGTCTTGTCTTCCGCTTTCTCTACATCTTGCAGGTGATGCATAAAGTTGTCGAAAGTAAAACTTCAAACTGTCGGACGTGTGCGCGTTGCCAACGTGTGTTGCGCGTACTGTCTTACATGACTACATGTACGACTATACTGATTGTGCAGCCGAACATGATTGTGCTGTGCAAAAAATATAATCTATTTATACATTTGCAGCAGTTGGAGCCACACTAAGCACTTGGACGTTTCAATAATAAAATTGATGGTAAATAAACACGACTCGTATATTACTCAATTGTACTTGTGTTTTTTTACATCTTATCCATCTTATCAGCAGTAGCGCGCCTAAGACATTTCTGTAAATGCTTTCAAATGCTTCTCTGCAGACATGTTCCATTGCAGCAACGTACGCCTGCTGGTTGCTGATAATTAATATTTTCCATCAAATAATATGTATAGGACATTAGTTATGAAGACATGCCACTTGCCGGATTTTGTACATGGTAATGCACTGATTGTATTAATGTAAACTTCTTCGTCTCCTTCTCATCATTATATAACCGCACATCTTTGTCTTTTAGCATACTTGATGTTTTAAATACTAGAATCGCTGTGAACAGAGGATTAATGGAAGGTGAGAAATGTATATGTGTTGTTCAGCTTAGATGCGATCATATATGCAAGATCAAATCAAAGAAACACATTTCAAATCATACATTTTACTCAAAATATCAAATCATCAATCAAATCGTATCCATATATCATATAAATCATATATGCATACTAGATGAGGATTCATAATTTATAGATAGATAGATAGATAGATAGATAGATAGATAGATAGATAGATAGATAGATAGATAGATAGATTTATAGATATATAGCGATTTCTATCGTTTAGTTGACTTCATAGCTGTCTGCTCCGGATCGGTGCATTCGCCATTCCTCGCGACGCGTTTTTTGTTTGCTGCGACGATGGCGAAATCGACCACTTCAAATATCGTGAATAGACCACTGCCGAGGAACAGACTCAGCGAGCCACCGATGTCCGCCATTAGCGCCACAAACGTGTACGCGGGCACGGACGTGATCACGTTCTCCTCAAGCTCGGTGAAGTAGATATCGAGCAGCAGCAGGTTGTTTGTGACGTAGTCTGCCGTCGCGTTGATCATCATCGCTGATAGATAGTTGGCGAAGGGCGAGAACGATGTCGACGGCGTGTAGTCGATGTCCCTGCACTGCGTGGGGCACTTGCAGTGCCGTCTATCGAAAGCGCTAGAAACTTGCATCAGCCGCATCAGACACTGCAGTTCCGTCTTCTCCGTGCAGACGCGCGCGACGTTGCGGCCTTGCAGATTGTGGCAGCCGCAGACTCCTTCCACGAACGCATTCTCGCACTCCTGTAGACAGGCGTAGTAAGAGTAATGCTCACTCGCATCTCCTGCCACCTGGCGGCACTGGCTGTAAGGACTTCCGAGCCGGTGCGTCTGAAACGAGCGACAACAACGCATGCTAACAACGCATGCAACGCAACGCATGCAACAATGCTAATTATTGCTAGTTTCTGGACGCTGGATTAAACTAATTTAATTATATGGGAACCGCGAAATACCAGATAAATTATTTGTGATTCGGGAATAGAAGAGAAACGGGACACCAGAACGTTCTGATTTCCGACTTTTTTCAACTTAGAACTGGGAAGTGACATGTTTTTACCTGGGAAACCGAGAATGGACCCATCCATAGTTTTCGTCAAAATTACATCTGGAATGTGTTCTGATTACACTCGGAGCTTCAACCATTATATAACTCTACTCGAAATGCTCTCACATTAGTAAAATTTGCACTATACCGCACCTTACGCCTCTCATGTAAACTAATCCGTTTGCTGGACTTACAACAGACTTTGATACACTCGTCAAGATGTGCATTCCTGGCCCAACCTTGAACCCTCTAGCCTGCAGCACGGGAGTCTCATATGGACTATGTAACATCACCTATATTAACGTACACATACTATAATTATATAAAGGTACCTTTACAGCACATTAAAGGTAGGGTGCCCCCGTTGATATCATAAACATCCGGCATGTTGCGCTATCTGCTTCTTAGGCGGGTTTCTATAGACGCTTAAATGCGTGGAAAAACGAGGAACAGGTCTACGCAATACTGCCTGCATTAATAGAGCGTGCTCTGATTGGTAGAAAGTGGATCGAATTAGGTCAACGGTTTATGTGCCCTACTGCTTTCTTAGGGCTGTGCTCTATAACACGTTACCTTTAAGCATACTAACATTAATATAATATTAATATGATAATAATATGATATATAAATCGCAAAAGCGTACCCTAAATCCTACGGTACCCTCTCTGCTCGCCACATACTCATGTTGTTGAGCGTCGAGCAGCAATCGCAAGCCACTCTGGTGACCACTTGTGTCTCGGGCAATCAGTGGGCTACTACCATCTGTAATGTACGATTGTCTCTACTGACACTACACAACAGGATAAATACTCTTAATCGTTTTGCACACTAAAGCTGATTAGGTATGATTACGGTTTATACTCCTCTCTGCCATCCTAATAAATATGCGAATTTAGATAGCAATAACCCTTAATTCAGATGCAGCATTAGTGCGTCGATATTTGGTGCCATTTGCGTCATGTAATGGCTGAGATAAAGTAGGCCCCGTAGATATGAACACGAAGAGCTTTGTTATATTAACAGAATCCATTTCCACTCTGTCAATACCGTCAATACCATTGAAAGATTAAGATAGAAAGTAAAAACAAAGAACAAGTAAGTAAAAATATCTACGACTGACTTGCATTGAAGCTGAAGCAGAGGCCCATGTCCGTGTAAACTGAGGTGACGTATTTCTGCTCACATGGCTGACCTCTCCACCAACACTGTACAATAAACAACAACAACTATACTAACCGCATGTGACAGTTATTATAAAATTAAGTGACATTGCCTGTCACTTGATTTTACAAGTTATTTCTCCGACACCAATCACAAATACTAATAGATAACAAGCTACTATTATAATGTTTACTTTGCTAAATACTTGGTTGATCTCCATACACGGTATAACAAATCATCATATACTCTTCGCGAAGTTTCGAGAACCGAATCTCACATTTCACCTATTATCTTGAGTCGGCCAGTGAACAATTTTACCAATTATCTATACGCCTCCTAAACGGCATCACCTCTGCCATGTTTTCTATCTCATTAGAATTATTTCGTTCATTAGCATAATAGGGTGCTGCGTGTTACGATCATTCATAAGCAAACACAACCTGATCTCTAGAAATGCATATTTCCGTAATTAGCAGCGCCCGTGACGTCATTTACCTGCCGCATTATTTCATCCTGGTGGTACATTCCCGTCTCCAGGACCTCCTGCAGAAGCTGCACGTCCAGCCCGTCCAGCAATGCATCGATCTCAGTCATGTTGCGGTCAAGTGGACTAGAAACGCCGCCGACCAGCATCCGGATAACCCGCACGTAGTCTTCGAAGCCTTGCTGCGGCATTGCGCTCTTCTTGATGACGTTCTCATTGCAGAAGGTCACGACGGGGAATTCCAGCTCGTCCCTGTAGCTGAGGTCGATTGACACGGCCACGGGCCGAGACGCGTACACGTGAATGCTCTTGCCGATCTGGTAGAACGAATACAGCAGGCCGCATGCGACCAGCACGCCCCAGATAATCCGCCGGTAGATGGAAACATCGTCGTCGAAGACGTAGCGCAGACCGGTGGCTGAAACGCCGTGAGAAAACTGCTGCAGTTGTTGCTTGAATGATTCCGGTGGCTTTCGGTCGGCAGGGCACGTGTCGCGCTCCTGAGAGTCAATCTTCGCATCGGCCATGTTACTATCCTCAAACTGTTGCCTTGTTGACTACTAAGAATAGTTATCGGCGTTAACACGGCGTTGAATTCACAATTGGAACTACAAATACAATTACGATAACAATTTCAGTTCCATTTACAATTACAATCGCATGTACGGTTACAATTACAGTTAAAATTACGGTAACGGTTACAATTACAATTACAATTACATTTACGATTACAATCACAATTGCTACTACAATTACAGTTACAATCGCGGCTACTTTTCCGATTATGCTAGGGGCACACGAGCGTATTTTATACCCCGATCGCGGCGATTAAAATCGCCAGCGAATTTAATCGCCCGATCACGAAGGGGCACACGTAGCGAATTTAATCACCCGATCACGAAGGGGCACACGTAGCGAATTTGAGAGCGTACGCGTACGCCACTCGACGGAATCACATGATCACATGATGCATCACATGATATCAACAACACGTCCGATTGGTTTAGAAAAATCGATCGGGCGACAAAATACGCCGGACACGGGCACACGAGCGAATTTGCCAGTAAATAATCGCCGGCGTAAATAATCACCCGAAAATATCTAACATTTTGGATACGGGCGATTCGTACGGGCGATTAAAATCGGCGTCGACGTGAACGGGCACACGGGCGAATTTTTTGAGCGATTTTAAAATTCACGGCGATCGGGCGATAAAAATCGCTCGTGTGCCCCAACTTAGGATTAGGATTGGGAGCACAATTACGATTACAATTACAATCACAATTAGAACTGTTCAGCGTAATAACATTAAGGACAAGCAGAGGTTATCACCCAAATGAAAGTACAACAATTGGTGGAGGATGCGGGTACGATTTCGCGATGCGGCGTACTCTGCCGCTCTGCCACGGTTCTACGAAGCATCATCTCTACTGTTTGCTAACAAGCCTAGACGCTGTCGACTCTACGAGAACCAGAACTTATCACCGTTCTTCGCACTGCAATAATTGGTGGAGGATGCGGGTACTTCTCCTCCTCATCTATTCCTACTCTCGGACACCAGGGATTTACTATCACCGTTCTTTCCCAGTACAACAATATGTAACCTGTAGGGAGAAAGCGGATGGGCGGACGAACGGACGGACGGACGGACAGGGGGCGGGCGGACGGATGTAAGATATAAAATTAATGATGGACTAGAAATAAATGAAAGAGGGAGAAGAATTGTCGCGTTCGTGATGTACTTAATAGACTTGACATGCTTCTAGCTCTAACCTATATTAGCCTGTTTTACATAGATACATATACATATACATATACATTATGCCTCCCTTGAATCTATTTTCGTTTGTCGCGTGCGTTTAGCAATGAAAAGCTATTCGGATATTTACATGTGAAAAAGAATCATAGAAAAGAATCAATCAATAATCATAATCAATAAAAGAAAGAAGGAGAAGAATTGTCGCGTTCGTAATGTACTTAATTGACTTGACAGACTTCTAGCTCTCTCTCTCTCTCTCTCTCTCTCTCTCTCTCTCTCTCTCTCTCTCTAGTGTGTGTGTGTGTGTGTGTGTGTGTATGTATGTATGTATGTATGTATGTATACAAGCAGGTTCTATTCAACACTGCACAATAGAACGTGTTTGCATGATGTAACTGCCTTTTACCGAATTCTGTGCACTCGGCCGCGTTAATGTATCATGCGTGCGGTTGGAATATACACCGTCTAGACGTGATGTGGTCATGATGCCTAGGCGCGCCGAGGATTGACACTTTGTGTCTTCCAATCATAGCCTACGCCGCACCAGAGTTTGATATTTTTAAATATGGGGACTCATTGGACCACCAAATCGCCGATCTCAGGAACTAGGGTATTCCGCTAGGCTAGAGCGGTTTCCTACGATAGAGTTTGGCACAAATACGAAAATAACGCGCTGTTTAGCGCACTGCTCTACGTCCTTCTATTATCGCATTTTCGCATTTCCGTAATCAGAATAAGCCCCGCTTTCTTCGTTGATGGGCATGAATGGGGCGTCAACGACGTGACCCGTTACTGAGTGTATGCATTTGGCGAGACTGTTTGCTTTGGCCCGGCCGATGCATTTCGCACCGAAGTGGAAAAATTAGGCATTTTTACCCGCTTTCGGAAGTGAACGAGTGCGTCATTCATTGAACATTGAAGTTTTCTTAAAATTAAATAATTCCCAAAATCCCTAACCGCGCTACTCGATTGTTTTAGCCAATGAACGTAGCTGTATGTGTGACGTCTTGCCCGCGCGCTTTATATGCTTGGCTTAAGGGGGTCGCACACCAGCCGATTTTTCACGCGATTTGATCGGCCCGATAAAAATCAGCCGATATCGGGTAGGTGTGCGCGTTCATTTGTAGGCGATTTTACTCACGATTATTTTTATCGGGTGATCGTTCCAAATCAAACATGTTTGATTTTGAACAGATTATTTTGAAGCGATTTTGTGTAATCCGACAAGATTTTGTGGCGTGCGCGTGAACTCAGGAAAATCGTCTACGATAAATATTGAACAGCCAATAGCTGAACGTGCCCGTGTCACATGACATTTACATTTTATCGTAGGTTTATTATGACATCACATTTTATCGTAGGTGTGCGGGTGCTTATCGGAAGGCATCGCGCTGAGCCGATTTTACAAACGATGAAGAGATTTTTTAATCGGACCGATTTTTGGGTAGGTGTGCGACGGCCTTTAGCGGGCCTCGAAATCGATATCGGAGGCACGCACCTCTAAACACGCGTGTTTGTTTACATATAGATTTGTGACATCAGGATGGGCGGTGTCGCGAGTTCTGCGATGATAACCTCGTAATTTCTCAGCATGGAACATTTGACCAATTTAGTGGTGTCAGTTAGTCACGGATATGTCACAGTAAGTACTAACCGTATATATTTATGTTTCACATACGTTCACCTATTTTGCACACAGGCGGTCGATCATTGTGAAAAATTGTGAGAAGATTTATTTTTATCGAGACGATCCAATTGCCTGTGCTTTCATTAAGTCTTGTACGTCAATGCACGTGCGTCAAGAGCCATAAACTCAACACAATTTCTTCTCTGTTATTGTTTACGCCTGAATGCGTAATTGATCAGGGAGGGGGTGCATGTAAGAGGGAGACATTTTCTTTGGGGTTTCGAAAAACACAATTCCACTTGACAATTTCATGGGCCATTTCAATTGGACGCTCTGCATAATGGACCCCCAACAAGCCCTTTGACTGCCTAGTCAAGAAATTCAAAGGTGTGTATATTGCTCTTATTTAGCCGCCGATAGTTCTTATTTAGAACAAAGTCTTCATTGTTATCTTCTAAAACTACAGACCATCCGCTGACCGCTGTGGAGACGTGCGCCGGGTCTCGAATTTGGCGCACGTCTTCACTGCGGACAGCGCTTCATACTTGAACATCCCGCGGTCGCGTGCGCATATCCCGCGGAACTGCGCGTCTCATCCGCGCGCAGCGCTCAGGATCAACAGCAAAGCTGTGCCACGCAATCTTGTATCATGTCTCTCTGGTTAACGCTTACAAAAGAGGTGCCAGTAAAATATTAGCATAGCTGTTCAATTATCATGGAATAAACATATGTGTGCCTTTCAAACCTCATGCATACAAACACAATGAATTTTGCGCCATTTATAACGCCATGTGATCTGAAAATGTGATGGGATAATTATTCGTATTATACACCATTATTATATGTAACTCATTAGAAGCACGCTCGAATCTGCTATATAGTGTATGGATGTAAGTACGAGCGTTGCTAAAGGTTAACGGTGACAATTGTAACTTAGCACGTAGTGCCACCTGCTTGTTACATAGCTTTCTTGCCGTCTTCATACACTAAACAAAACGATAGCTGAGTCAAACATTATTGCTTCTTGTATTGCTTACTGAGATCGCTCTAATTGGCGAAAATGGGATCAATTGAGGTAAAACGTTAGTGGGTACGACATCATGTTACTTGTGTGTTCGCTAAGCTCTTTGTGTATTTATTCAACATCGAATGATAGCTCGTGAATTCGTGGGTCGCGCTATCAAACCGTATCAGCCAACACTCGGTACTGTTAATTCCATTACGATATCATAACAACAAACTTTTTTCTAAATCTTGAAGTGACGGTATACAGTGATGGCAAAGAAGCGTATTTTCACTTGTTGTTATCTATGGCTGGCCGTATCGAGGTAACGAGGACGGCAACAAGGTTACACCTAATAATAGCATTCTACACGATGTGACAACCGTGAGATATTCCTGTTTTCTGGTCGTAGCACTTAATATCGTATATACTGATGCGATCATTATTATTGCGATGATGTTAAGGTACTTTATTAGTTAAGATTTACTAATTACTTGTTGATTGCAGGCTGTACAGAGACTAACCGTAGGAAGCTACTAGTAATAAAAATCTACAAACACTTTACATAAAATGGCTGTCATGTCAGATGTCAGAATATCGGTTTGAAATCTAGTTTTATTGCAGATGAAGCGTCTAAAATTCCCTCAAATTATGACATGCAGTAGCCGGATAAGTTTTATTAGATAAACGAAAATCAAACCAGATTATATATATATATAAAATGGTAATATATATAATATATATATATATTAATATAACAATAACTCGAGATTGGCCCTATAAATGTATATATATATATATATTATAAGATAACTACTATATAAGTAATCTCATGTCGCTGTATCTCTGTCGCTCTCTCTCCTCTTCTCGTCGAGTCTCTCTCTCCTGTCGCTCTCTCTACTCTCATCTCTCTCTTGTCTCGTCTTCCTCTCTCTCTCTCGTGTCTCGTCTCATCTCTCTCTCCTCATCGCTCTCAATCGATCTCTCTCAATCTTTCTTTCTCTCTCACTCTCTCTCTCTCTCTGTCTAACTTTCCTGTTCACTACAAATATATATATTACCTACTTTGTATTGTAACAGCATATGCAAGTGATTCTTATGTTGTTGAGTTTTATAGTATAATTAGTAAACATTTACATATTCAACAATGAATAACAGATAATATAACGTACCTTTACTGGTGCCAGCAGGAAACCGAACTGAAAACATCGACAACAGACCAAATCTTCGGGTGTGCACGGTTCGCCGGTCCCTTTCAGATAATAATTTGTCAATTATTCGGCTCAATATCTCAATGGCACTGTGTTGTGCACCACGGCGACATGTTTGTAGTTGGCAGATCGCAGAAAGGTGACCCTGTGTGTTGATCTAAGGCGCATTGATTATACCGTAGTTAAATGTCTCGATTACAACTTACACTGTATCGCATTAACTAACTAATTCTGTCAGAAGTCGCGGCCTTTCACTATTCGATCATAGACAAGTTAAATTTATCTGGACACTCTGCGCAATTAAGACCGTTTTTCCGCACGCACTCGTCTATAGCACGTCTGACTACTAAAAGACCCTTGTCTAAATGGTGCGCGGGCTGGCTATGCGTGTAGGACGCCGCTACCTAGAGTAGTAGATGCAACTTCTCTTCCAAACACTGCCGGAAACCTGCATCTGGACATTACAGGGTATAACATGGTTTGAATTCTGTGTTGGTCTTTATATAGATTGGAAACGTATATCGTCGACGGTCGCGCCCGTTGTCCTACTTGTATCTTGAAAACAGCTCTAACGTGTGTTCGCCGTTATCCGCTTGCTTCGCGTGAGAATAGTTAACCGGTACAAACGAGGATGACAAACTCCGCTTCCCACGTCAACAACATGAACGTTCTTTACTAACGGAAAGCCCGCCGAGGTTCCCAGGCACCATCTACGAAACGCCTACAACGATTTCACTAATTGAGCTCAACTGCCATTATTTATTTTTCTGTATAACAATTGTATAACAATTGGGTCGTTATTTCCTCGCATGTTATTTGATGAAAAGTGCCGCCTACGTAAAACGTATGCGGTGAGTGTGATTGTTTCTCACGTGCCATAAGCTAGCCCGGCTGCGTAGAAATCACCTTCACCAATGCTTGTGAAACAGGAAAAATGAAGGTCTACATGATTTAATCAAAGCTACATTACCCCGCCTACGAGGCATCAACACTTGCACCATGTTTTCTACTTAAAACATGTGAAGGTTTTGTTTGTCTTTCACTATAAGACCAAAAAACATCCGCTCTTCTATCTTTTGTACGGAAGTAACTGTAAAGCTGGATAACTCAGTTCGCTTCGTTATCGTTCCGATACAGTTGGACTTGGCGTCCGGTCCCAGAAGGTCATCGCTTCTTAAAGCGTGCGGTAGGGGGCCGTCCAATCGGTATTCTCTACCATGGATATCCTCTCTACTCCAATGTCTATATATAAAGCTTTGCCATATATACGCTAGAATATACAAAATATGTAGTCACAGGACAGCCATCTCCTGGTAGAATCATGTTCGTCCTATCCAGAGAGACATGATACAAGATTGCGTGGCACAGCTTTGCTAGCTGTTGATCCTGAGCGCTGCGCGCGGATGAGACGCGCAGTTCCACGTGATACGCGCACGCGACCGCGGGGATGTTCAAGTATGAAGCCGCTGTCCGCAGTGGAGACGTGCGCCAAATTCGAGGCCCGGCGCACGTCTCCACAGCGGTCGGTGAATGACCACGTGACGAGGCGTGACTCAAGAAGATATATGGTTGTGTAGGATTTAGTGCTCCCCAATGTGACAGTGTTCAGGATCTGACAGCTTATAGTCCTTAATACTCCTTATAGGCACAGGGGAAATCCCCAGCTTGTATCATCCTGCAGACTGACCTTTTTTGCCCCATTTTACCAGTAATATATCAATGTGCAAAGAAAAACTCATCTTCTCTTTAAATTTAGAGTAATCGATTTATTTACAATACAGATATTATCGTTTTTACAACAGAGAAATTTCAGCGAAATATTTACAAAGCAACATAAGAGACTATACCGCACAGTCAGCCTATAACCACACGCCTGTTGGTGATTTCTCTATCTAGATTGCAATATCTATGATGATCACACAAAATCCGTAAGGCTCATGGTCACATATAAGGATTCCACTTACAAGGAAAGTCATGCATTATTATCCATATCATTATAAATAAAATCGCATTGCCTCAGTGATAATCCGGTTCTTACATTGTAAGCCTATTTACATGCGCCATTGATTTGTTCGTGTTATTTCCGGCCAAATACATACCTTCAAATTCACCTAGAACGCGTCGGGTATATCACACTAATTATGCTGTCCCGGGTACGTAATGGCATGTAAAAGCAGCTATACCACAATATAATCAAGAGTCCATAATAGAGACACTCTATTATGGCCTCTTGATATAATTCAACACATGATTAGCCGCATTTATATATAAAGAGGCAAGCACAACAAAACACGTGTTCGACATGGTCTGTCTATCAGATATGCTCTAGCGTGATGTTTACATACGAAATCCTAGCAGAGGTCGCGTGTGCAATACACACGCTAACACTCTACGACGTTCTAAAGGAGACAACTACCAGTAATCCGACATTTTCTCTTGCGTGAATTTTCTCCTACACTGCAATTTCGTTCGCGTTGATTAGCGAAGCATTGAAACATTTTTTCTCTATGCCGATTTACGATAATTGCTCTGTCCAGTGAAGGAGATCAATTGAAAACGCAAGCATCCCGTATCATGCCATGTTCGAAATTAGTCACATCGCATCGACTGTGCTATTTATAATCGTACGGCATCAGTGTCAAGTCTAAAACACTACTACTGATAATTATGCTAAAACTGTTGATATGATATACATGCATTCTCTGTATTCCTCTACAACATAATTATGAAAGTCATATGCTAATTAGATAAAAGCAATTAATCTCAAGCTTTATATAGAAAATGCTACTAGAATGTTTGTCAATGTATTAACAGAACTCCATTTGAGCAAATAAAATGTCATGGCGAAGTTAAATTACGTATATAAAAATTAATAATAATACGTTTGTGTTAACTATATCATCTCATAATTTACATTAATTACATATCCATTAAGAAAAAATCATATACACAGTAAAGAATGCTACTACCGACATAACCGCGTCTTATTTCGTAGTGGAAAGTAACTAATAAATACATTATTCGTTTTTATAAATTCGTTATAAAACATGATAGGCGAGTTGTATGTAACATACCCTAAGCGCCTAGCTACTGTCCTATCCACGGTAAGTGAATAGAGGTATGTAAAGACGACAATATACAACATAGCAACAGGACGAAGAGCGATGACCGTGACGTCAACGTTGGCGATGAATTTGCCGGATTTGATGACTGCAGAATGGCATTGGTGTGGTTGGTTGGAGCCCATCTGTTGCAGTATGACTCATCGCAGCACGAGACGCACTCCTGTGCAGCGCAAGACACAACACAGATGTAAGAGTACATAATCATATGCGTACATAAGGGTACATAATGGTATCATAAGGTCATCATGGTATCATAAGGGTACAATAACATCAGGAGTAGATAATAGGGAATTAATAATAATAATTCCCTATAAGAATAATAATTCCCTATTATCTACTCCTGATAACATATAAGGGGATATTGGCCTATCGTTAGAGAATCATAAAATAACCAATGAAGATACTTACTCAACATTAAAACTGAATGAAATAAATGATAAATAATTTTACAATAAACGATTATCATAACCAGTACCATATTGTCTCTAGAAACATTACGGAACTTGATTTTACCTTCATATAATCTCATTTACTACTAATAATATATAATAATTTTATTATTGATAATAATTACCACTAGTTTCAAACCACCGGCATCCATTTCCTTGCAGCCGACTGTCTCCTCCGTGCAGTTGATCGGTTTGGCGCAGAACTTGTGCATGTACACACTCGCTCCTGTCTCCACGTCCATCCTATGCATGGACTGACAGAACTCTGTGCCTGCAGAAAAAAAACAGCGGAATCTCTCACAGCGCTGCGACGGAGACGATTTTATGCCGATAAATCAGCTTTTACCTACAATTTCATCGTTATAATTGCAGCGTATACAAAACGCATATTATTCGCGCGGATAGAAATACGCATTACATATTTCATGTCGATATCAGACGGTAGAGGGCTCTGGCAACGTAAATCCATACCTTCGTGGTTCAGGTTGGATGGATCGGATGTCTTACCTTTCGGACAAGGGACGTCTATGGCAATCTTGTTACATTCATCGTTATTCTCCTTTGGCTTACATGTGTAACAGGTTATTTCTAGAAATAATAAAATCAAAGATTTAGATATTAGTGATAATCATACGAGGTAGGCTGCTCGCGGGTTGGGACCAGGCCGATACAACAATTAATGTCCTCAGACAAATCCCAATAATCGATATATACCCTACCTAATTTAGCTTGAAATGTGTGTGTGTGTGCGCGCGCGCGCGCGCGCG